AGTTTTTTATAAATTTATATAGAAATAGTTAATTTTAGAATCATGTATTTTTAATTTTTAAAAATTACATAATTTTTAAACTTTAATTGAACTTACCTTTTAGAAACCTTGACCGGTTTAGTGACAAGTAAGTAATTACCATGTCTCAGATTGGCAAATATATTTTATAGTTTCTAGAAACAGGTTTTTTATTGGTAAACATACTCAAATTTTAAAGAGATATTTTAAAAATAAAATATAAGATATATTTGTTAACAGATTTAAATCCATTTTTTTTTTAGCTTTCCTGCAATAAGAAGCCAAAAGTAGGCAAATTCAGATTAATTAATAATTAATTAATATACAAAAATATATACACACACTTTGAATAATTTTAAAGGCAGTGTTTAGTAAAATACATTTTATTTCCAAAATTGTTCTGTCAGCTATTATAGTGCATATACATTTTTTTGGGAGATGGTATATTTCAGTAATTCATTATCCTAAAATATCTAAATATTTAATAATTTTTATTATTTAACCCAGTAAAACTCTAAAGTTCCAAGTTATTAAAGACCTTGGGAAATTATGTTTAGATATAGGAAGTTTCAGAAAAACCCTTCATTTTAGTTGTGTTTATTATGTCTTAATAATTTTATAAGATGTTAAAGTCCATTATTATCCAAGCCATTTTTCTGGCAAATTTTGTAACAGGGATAACACCTTGACAATTTTTAGGAGCCTGGAGAAGTGGCAGCGGGGGAAGGCAGATATCAGGCCCTGTGGCTGGTTCCAGGACTGCAGCAACTCCTGGCCTCCAGTGGCTTTAGTGTAAAAAATATATATATATAGTTATTAGAGGCCCGATGCACGAAATCATGCACTGGAGGTGAGGGGTCTCTCAGCCCAGCCTGCACCCTCTCGCAGTTTGGGATCCCTTGGGGACTGTCTGACTGCCAGCTTGTGGCTGGATGGCCTTCTGCTGCTGCACAGCCTGCTGCTTGAGCTTCAGCAACTACTGCACGTGCACTGGCTGAGCCACCACAGTCTGGCCTGCAAACACCATCGAGTGGGTGAGTCAAGCACGGAGGCAGGCTCACCCTGAGTTCCCTGTGCTTCCCTGAGTCACTGAGTTGTTCAGACCGACTGTCTTCTACAGAGAATGGCACCAGGATCGGGCCTAAGCTGGCAGTCGGACATCCCTCTTGCAGTCCGGGGCCCCTGGAGGGATCTCTGACTGCCTAAACTGGCAGTCGGACATCTTCCGAGGGATGTAGCAGTGCACCAAGCAGCAGGCAGCCAGGGAGGAGCCTGAATCGGGGCTAGGGACCATGCCGCTTACACTCATCCTGGCCTGCTGCACCTGCTGCCGCCGCTCAATAGTGCTGCCACAGAGTTGAGAGAGGCTCCCGCCATGGCAGCTGCACTTGCCAGCCATGAGCCTGGCTTCTGGCTGAGCGGTGCTCCCCTTGTGGGAGCACACTGACCACCAGAGGGAAGCTCCTGTGTTGAGTGTCTGCCCCCTGGTGGTCAGTGCACACCATAGCAACCAGTCGTTCTGGTCATTCCACTGTAACAGTCGCTTAGGCTTTTATATATATAGACTAGACTAGAGACCCGATGCACGAATTCGTGCACCAGTGGGGTTCCTTGGCCTGACCTGCAGGATTGGGCTGAAACTGGCTCTTAGACATTCCCCGAGGGGTCCCGGATTGTGAGAAGGTGCAGGCTAGGCTAAGGGACCCCACCAGTGCATGATCAGGGCCCGGGAGGAACACAGGAGGTTGGCCAGCCAGGGAGGAACTGTGGGAGGGCTCCAGGGCATGCCCGGCCCATCTCAATCAGTCCCAATTGGCCAGACCCCAGCAGCAAGCTAACCTACCAGTAGGAGCTTTCTGCCCCCTAGTGGTCAGTGCACATCATAGCGAGCAGTTGAACAGCCTTACCATATTATTAGCATATTATGCTTTGATTGTTTAAACAGCTGACTGGTCAACCAGACACTTAGCATATTAGGCTTTTATTATATAGGACTAGAGGCCGGGTGCACGAATTCGTGCATGGGTGAGGGCTGGCCAGCCCTGCTCCCGATTGGGGTGGGAGGGGCCGATCGGGGGCAGGGCTGGGCTGGCTGGGGAAGGGGCCTCGGCGATTGGCAGGCCGGCCCTGCCCCTTGGTTGAACTCCTGGTCAAAGGACAATTTGCATATTAGCCTTTTATTATATAGGATATATATCTACATATGATGGGAGTGGCCCCTGCTGCAGCTTTGGCAGCCTGCTTGAGGGTACTTCTGTAGCTCCAACCCTCTAGAGCAGGGGTCCTCAAACTTTTTAAACAGGGGGCCAGTTCACTGTCCCTCAGACCATTGGAGGGCCGGACTATAGTTTAAAAAAAAAACTATGAACAAATTCCTATGCACACTGCACATATCTTATTTTGAAGTAAAAAAAACAAAACGGGAATACAATATTTGTATTTGCATGTGGCCCGCGGGCCGTAGTTTGAGGACCCCTGCTCTAGAGTCTAGGAGAAAGACTTGGGGCATTTAAAAGATTTATTCCCTATATTTTTCTTTCTGAGTAGAATCCTTATGATGTAACAACGTGAAAGCCTATATATCAAAAGAGATCTTATCCCATTTCAAAACAGAAACAAAAATAATCACTAAAGTAAAACAATGGAGGGACGGGGACTTTAGCCTTAGAATCTTATTTCATACCAATTGGCGCAGCAAATGACCTTTTTAAGGCCTGAGTGGCACAAAGCCCCAACAGAAGAGACAGAGGATTCAACAGCGAAAAGCCAGCTGACTCCCCAAAAGATGAGAAACTAAGCAAAGAATATCTATAATCAAAGTTACATTATAGACAGACAGGAACTTGCAGGGAGCTCTCAAACAGAAAAGACCGATTTTCTTACTCTAGCCAAGCGTCTTGGGCAGCGGATGCCTTGAGAGGGAAGCAGGGAGGGTCCCTGAGATAAAGAACTCTTGGCAGCTGCTGGGAGGCCCCTGCAATCCCTGCTGCGGGTTCAGTCCTTCACAAGCAGCTGGGCCCCCAGTTAAGGGGGATAGGCCCCCATCTTTAAACAAATTAAACTGAGCCACAAAGGGAAAGAAAAGAGCCATTAGCAGACACTTTTATGTACAGTATTTACAGGTGCACATAACAGACAAACAAGAGTTTTACACCGAGCTTCTTATCTGTCTACCCACAGAAACCTCAGAATGTCCTGTGTCCCAGAGTGAATCAGGATAAGGGTTCTGAGGCTAGGATTGTCCCTATTTTACAGATGTGGAAACTGAGGCCCAGAGAGGAAAAAGCAGCTCGCCTGAGGTCACCGAGCTAGGAAACGGCTCAACCCAGGGAGGCCATCTCCTAAGTCAGTGCCCAAGCCGGGCTGCTGGGCTCCCCTTTCATTCCAACAAAGCCCCACTCTCCCAGGGCTGACCTGTGCCCTTCTCCCCTCAGCACCCAGGACAGGACGGGCGCCCAGAGGGAGCTCAGCGCCATCTGTGCAATGCCCCAATGCGGGTGATTATCATCCCTCGGTCCTGAGAGGCAGGTGAGACCGGCCTGGGGCAGAGGTTGTGTCAGGATTGCCCCATCAGGCATGCCTGCCCCCACGCACCCTCTGCCACCCCAGTGTGGCTTCCTCAGAGACCCAGAGCGGCTTCCCTGGCAAGGCAGCCAGCTCGGCCCTGCAGCATCGCCTGTGCCCACTGCCTGGGAACTCACTGGGGTCACGAAGGAAGGCTGGATACTGCTGAGGGCCATCTCTCCACCACCTCTGTGGTCCCGGCTGCTCCTCACACCAGCCAGGCAGTTCTCTGCACTGGGGAGGATTTGGTAAAGAAATAGAAAGCAAAAAAATTGAGCGGTGGGGGGTTAAAGGGGAGCCAGGAGCAAGAGGAAGTGGGTTTAGAGAAAGAAAGGTAGAGTGCTGGGGGTGGGGGTGGGGGTGGGGGTGGGGGTGGGGGTGGGAGGGTTAAGGGTGGTGCAGTCCCTTAAAAGGGACAGAAAAGTAGATACTCCACTCCGTGACCTTTCTTTCACCTCTCCTCCTGTGCTCCACCCGAAATGGGATCGTGTCGTGTCCGGTTCGTGTACAGCGTGCTCAGTGACAATGTCCAGAAAACAATGGGCTGCTTGACAGGAACACAGGGAGGGGTGGTGGTGGTGCTGGAAGGCCTGGTTATACCCATTTTACACACAGAGAAACTGAGGCTCAGAAAAGTTAGGGGGCATGTCCAAAGTCACATGGCTCACTAGTGGCATCATGACCTCTATGAGGATAGTTAGAGTCTCAAAAAGGCATTTCTCTTCTCATATAAAGGTATCATGTAGAAATAAGTGGTACTCTGGGAGCTTCTGAGGCCCCTCTCTGTGAATGTATCTCTTTCTTCTCTCCTCCCGCTCCCCTCCTCTCGCCCTTTTCTTTTTTGGGCTTTAGAATAGGGAGAGGTGCCCTAGCTGGTTTGGCTCAGTGGATAGAGCATCGTTTTGCAGACTGAAGGGTCCTGAGTTTGATTCCAGTCAAGGGCACATGCCTGGGTTGTGGGCTCTGTCCCCGATAGGGGACGTGCAGGAGGCAGCCGATCAATGATTCTTTCTCATCACTGATGTTTCTATCTCTCTCCTCTCTCTCCCTCTCCCTTCTTCTCTGAAATCGATTACATATATATATATATATGTAATTTTTTTTTTTTTTAGAATAGGGAGAGGAGAAGTCTTGGACATAATGGAGTACTCCAAATGACATGGAGGGCAGGGCAACATTAAATAAATTGCCATGAACTGGCGTCAGCACCTAGTTAAGGGAAATGATTAAACGAGATGAACAGGATAGGCTGGGTTGGGGAGTGGGGAGGAGAGGAGGGCCGCGGTGATAATGAACTTACCTGAAGTCAAGCAGGTCCCTGCAATGTGCTAGAAAGAAAACCAATGAGCTACCAGTTAAACCTGAATGAACAGTTAAGGGTCAGATAGGCGCCATGTGGGTAGAAGGTGCCCAAGGTCACACATAGATCTGTGCCTCTGTTCCTTCTTGCGCCTTGTCTACATGCACCAGCATTCGCAAAGACTGACTTCTCTCAGATGCTCCTGCAAACTGAGGTCACGTGTCCCCGCATGTCACCCTCATGCCTAGTAAGTATATCACTGAATCAACTAGAATTTAATCAGTTTAAGGCGGGCAGACAGGAGGGAACAGAAGCACAATTCTTTGCTATCCTCTCCAGCAGCAGGGACACCAGGGACAGTGTCATCACTGATGGGGACATGGACCCGTGGAACTCTCATTCCGTGCAGATTGGAGTGTGAAATAACACAACGTTAAAAAACAACTCAAGAGAGATGAACACAGACATTGACGACAGCCTCACTCCCATAGCTCCAAACAGGAAACCACACAAGTGCGCACCAGCAGGAGAAAGAAGGAACAAGTGATGGTGCTCATACCATGGAAGGGCCCCCGCAACCAAAAGGAGCTGTGACACGGGAACCCTCGGTGACTTCAGATTGGACAATGAACCAGGGGATGTTCTGGAACTGATCTGGATGGTGGTCACACAGCTGTTTCACCCTTGTAAATAACTCATTACAAATAATTAGGTTTCCATTTCTCCACAGATGAAAACAAAAATCTATGAAGAATTACATCATTCAACTGGGACACACAGGTTTTTCATAAGAAAATAGGCTTACACGTTTGCCGCTGGTCAGTTAATTCATTTTTTCCCTACTTTAAAACAAATCACAGAAGGGGAGAATCGAAGATGGCGGCATAGGTAAACACCGGAGTTTGCTGCCTCGAACAACCACTTCAAAAATACAACTAAAAGTCGGAGCGGACATCAACCAGAACCACGGGAAGGCTGGCTGAGGAGAGTCTCTTCAACTAGAAGCAAAAACAACAGCATTCTGACGCTCAGCGGAGGCGCAGTGTGGAAAACTTAAAGGTACAGCGGTGCGGTGGTGAGGGTGCGCGCGCAAAGCGGGCTGGCGGCTGAGGGCGCGATTGTCGTTTTCAATCAGGAGCGAGTCTCAGACTCTGGGCTACAGATCCGGGCGAGTCTCTAGGGACCCAGACTCAAACGGGAGAAGCGGGACTGTCTGGCTACGGCCCCTCCGAGGTTTGCAGCGGTTACGGGGACAGAGAGGCAGAGCCCCTGGGGACGGACTGAGAGCAGTCATAGCGGCTCCCTCCCCCCGCCCTGTTGAGCCCGCCCTGCCCAAGTCCTGCGCACGGCCATTTGCCGACCGCCTCAGGCAAAGGCTGGAATAGCGCCTCCCCAGAAGACAGACGTTTTCCACAGCTGATTCCTACAGCCAGTCGGCCTGGTGGTCAAACCCCTCTAGTGTTAACTACAACAATTAAGGCTTGGCTAGAACAAGACTGCGCACAGAGACCACAAGGGGGTGCACCAAGAAAGCATATAAGATGCGGAGACAAAAAAAACATGACAGAAATGGAGGATATGGAGCTAAGAATCGCAATTTTGAGGGCTTGCCATAAATTTGTGCAGAGCCTCACGAAAACTAATGAGACCCTCGATGCTACGATAAAGAAATTAGAAAGTAAGCATACACGGACTGAAATAAAGAATATTATACCCAATAGCAGACCAGAGGAGCACAAGAATCAAACCAAAGATTCGACAAAAAACACCCAATTGGAAAAGCAAAATGAAAAAAGAATCCGAAAGTGTGAAGATAGTGTAAGGAGCCTCTGGGACAGCTTTAAGCGGACTAATATCAGAGTCATTGGAGTACCAGAAGATGAGAGACAGCAAGATATTGAAAACCTATTTCAAGAAATAATGGCAGAAAACTTCCCCCACCTGGAGAAAGAAATGGACTTACAGGTCCAAGAAGCGCAGAGAACCCCAAACAAAAGGAATCCAAAGAGGACCACACCAAGACACATCATCATTAAAATGCCAAGAGCAAAAGACAAAGAGAAAATCTTAAAAGCAGCAAGAGAAAGAGGCTCAATTACCTACAAGGGAATTCCCATACGACTGTCAGCTGATTTCTCAACAGAAACTTTGCAGGCCAGAAGGGAATGGCAAGAAATATTCAAAGTGCTGAATACCAAGAACCTACAACCAAGATTACTTTATCCAGCAAAGCTATCATTCAGAATTGAAGGTCAGATAAAGAGCTTCACAGATAAGGAAAAACTAAAGGAGTTCATCACCGCCAAACCAGTATTATATGAAATGCTGAAAGGTATCCTTTAAGAAGAGGAAGAAGAAGAAAAA